AGAAAAGGATATATATATATTCTGTATTACAGAAAAGATATATATATTCTGTGTTATAGAAAAAGATATATATTCTGTTACATGAAAAGGATATATATATATTCTGTATTACAGAAAAGATATATATATTCTGTGTTATAGAAAAAGATATATATTCTGTTATAGAAAGATATATATATATTCTGTGTTACAGAAAAGGATATATATATATTCTGTATTACAGAAAAAGATATATATATTCTGTGTTATAGAGAGATATAAATATATTGTGTTATAGAAGTATATATTCTGTGTTTATATCTGCACTACAAATATTTGTTTTAATGATCTTGACCATTTATTCTTCTTTTCAACAAATTTAGTTGACTTTTCAAATCTTTCCAATGTTTGACTAACCATCTTTAAAAGTGCACGTTCAAAATTCTACTTAGTGTGTTGAGGTGTTATATGTACTGAGTGTTATTATATTTTGTGTTGAAAATTGTATCAATATACCCGATAAAAAACTGTAACAATTAAATAGTGTTTCATTGCTGTCATAAGTTTCTTCATTATGCAGCTCACCAATAAAAAAACAGCTCATGAAAGGAAATATAAAGTTAGGCTTTGCATCTTTATACAGTAATCATAGCTCAAGGTGAATTACTTAAAGAATGTACCTTTTGTATTTAGAAGTAATCACATAACAATGATACACTGTTCGTAGATTGTTTTTCAAATCAAAGTGTTACATTTAAAGATGGTGATCCTAAATAAAGCGACATTTCACAAAACTCATGATTCTATAATTCGGGCAACAGCTCGAGCTAGCTGTGGTTTACGTCACACTTGAATCTATACTTATTTCGTCCCTCTGTTGATACTTTAATTTTTTTGCTATTAAACATAAAATGTGATCCCTTAGTGACATGTTTGTTAACAAATGTAGGCATAACAAGAAGAACACTTGTATCATAAATTACCACTGTACAAGTATTGACACTTGCACCTAATAGTGAAAATTCAACATACAGATTACTTAATTAAATAACACACTGTTTTCAAATAGTAAGTTTGTAATGTATTCGGAAAGTTACTTAAAATCATCATCTAAAGTGGAACTATTACTCTTAAACCCTTTCATATTTACATAACCATTTACACAGATCATTATTGTAACTAACGTTAGAAATTACTGACTTTACAGAAGAAGAAACTGGGATAGATTCTAACAAGTAGTGCATGAGGACCAGACAGTATGATCTTCTTGTGGACCTCATCACCATTAAAGGAAAAAATAATTATTAATCACAAAACAATAATATTTATAAGAATAATTACGTAGTAGCTTGTTATTTATTTGGACAAATATCAAATATAGTCACAGTTCATACATCTATATACTGTAATGTGCTCTGGATGTTAGTCTATTGTTATACGATTACTGTTTTGTTTACGGCTAAAATGCGCCTAGAAGATCACCCAGCAATAATAATGACCTAGAACTAGGTTATCAGTGCCCATGAACACTAGTCTGGTATTAGATCTTATGTCCCTGCCCCTCCCCCCTTTGGGATCTTAGGAGCACATTGTTTTGAACTGTGTTCATACCCCAACTCACAAGCTAGTGAGACCAAATCTAGCACATGTGCTCAAATGCCGCAGCGGGTGCCCTAACAGAGGTTTTTTGGGCACGTCCCTCCCCCCCTCTAGGGTGCTCATTGTCCACCTCATAGAATATTGCAAGATAAGCCAGAGAGTGAGATTAACCTGCATGCGTAAGTACTGAAATCATTGGTTTTCTTTGATCCACAACTAACTGAGGTTACAAAGACTTGCTAACAAAAACCACAAATGAATTCCACCTACAACTAATGATTTTCAAGTTTGTATCTTAACTTTATTGCTGAATTAAAAATGATCAAATGTAAATATCCGAGTTCTGACACCTCCAGAACACTTGACTCTAGCATCACAATGTTCAACACTTCCATCTTTACGGTTTGCGAACATGCTTCTAGCTTAATCCAGTTTTGATCTAAAGACTGGAGAACATCCTAACAGTTGTTTCAGTTATCTTAATAAAAAACACTCTTCTAAGTGAGTAAGCTGACATTGTTGTATTAACAATAAAACTTTGAAACGTTTATCCCAACTTTGAACCTATGGAAATTGTCAAGCAGATAAATTCCAACACAAATCGTTTTTACCATGGATCAGAAATATTTAAAACATTCTTTAAAAAATCCTCAAAGCTGCTTTTTCTTGAGTGAGTTATGGTTGTTGACATTTCTGGTTCAAAAGTTACTAAGATGAAAGGAGATAAATATATCCAGCTAATACAATAATTCAGATAAAATAGTAAAGTACTACAGGATGAAAGATAATCCATAAAATGCTACAGGATGAAAGATAATCCATTAAGTACTACAGGATGAAAGATAATCCATAAAATGCTACAGGATGAAAGATAATCCATAAAATGCTACAGGATGAAATATAATTCATAAAATGCTACAGGATGAAAGATAATCCATAAAATGCTACAGAATGAAAGATAATCCATAAAATGCTACAGGATAAAAGATAATCTATTAAGTGCTACAGTATAAAAGATAATCCATTAAGTGCTACAGGATAAAAGATAATCCATTAAGTGCTACAGGATAAAAGACAGTTTGTAAATAAGACCTAAGTATCTTTCAATCTACAATATATTCAATTCACAAGTACCTTACACATGTGAAATTTTAAATAAACATTTTTTGTTGTATAAAGCAAAGTTCATTACACTTATTAAATTAAACAACTGAAGCTATATAAACCATGTAATTTCTCTACAACCTAAGTTTGTACTTTCTGTTTGTTGTTAAGCATAAAGCTAAAGAATGGGCTATCTGTACTATGCCCGCCACGAATACTGAAACCCGACTTAGCATTATAAGCTCTCATACTTACCATTGAGTCACCTGGGGTCAGTTAAAGACATAATTTGATTATTATTAGAGAACATAAAATGATTCTTTGTGCTCAGTAACTACTTAGTAAAATAACAATATTAATTGTTGTTGTATGTTTACACAAAAAAAACAAGTTAGCCAATAAAACTTATCAACTAGATGGGCACTCAATAGAGCGCATACCCCCACCACGTACCATTTATCATATTATCATACTCGGCTCTAGTAAAATACGAAAACGTGTCTGTACATCTATCAGTATCAACAGACATAGACCATTTTTGGCAGGACAATGAGGAATAATATTCTACATATGTCCACCAAGTTTCATCAAAATCTGATCATTTTTTTACTGAGTTATAGAGCAAAAAATAGTGTGAAAAATCAGTCCCAATTTTAACAGAAATGGATTTTTATTTTTGTGAACTTGACCCTCCAGAAACTAATCACTTCTAAGTTGGGCAATGTTCCAAATGTCTACCAACTTTTGCCTAAATCCATTCAGCCATTTTCAAGAAATCTTGCTGACACACACACAGAGGTGAAAACATACTTTACATCCTTCCAATTTATTCTAGATTGTGAATACATGAACCGACTTAGCCAGAAAAGTTAAATAAAGTATTCCATGTACGATGAGAGCAAACTGTGAATTATGAACTGCATACAAATTTCCACCACCAAAATGTGTAAATATTAATTCTTATTATGCAAAGTGAAATTGATTAGTTGGCACTAAAACATTATGTGCTTTTGACTGCATATTTACATCCGTTAATGTGAAAAGTTAATTACTGTGAAATCATTAATAGCAATTTAAGAATGCTAAATTGTTACACACTTCATTCTAACAGTAATAACACTTGCCAATGAATATTAATGATGCTGCTTTATTTGTATTTATGTCAAAGCTACTGAGGTTTTCTGCCTCTATCCCTAGCTTTGAACTACTAACCAGAGGGAAGACAGGCACTCAGTAAGTCCTATACACCCATCATATACGATAAGTTATTGATTATCACTCCTATAACACCTATTATATATGGTAAGTTAATTGACTGTCACAGCTTAAAGTGCACGGAATATTTGCTGTAACACACAGATTCAAAACCAGCTCTGAAATCTATAGCTTTATCATGAGGACAACCTGTTCCTCCAATGCTTTTCTATTCGTTTCATTATTAATGAGTGTTATGCATGGTTTGCATAAACTATTTAAAATTTTTTACTATTACAATAATCTCTTATTGACCAAGCAAATACCATTATAATGCATGTATATGGACTAGTATGTTTCTAACACAACTATTAAGTTAGGTAAAAACAGTTCATAAAATTTCGAGGATTAATCGCAGTTCATAAGAATGATGTTCCAGGCCTCATGTTGCTTGTTTTTGTTACATTAAGTGGAAAATCTTTCACTAAATAAGTATAACATAGCACCTACCATCATGTCTTAGCAACACAATTGACAGAGATGCCTGTATTGTGACCACTTGTTGTGTTCTAATATACTTTTTACAGCCAGAAGACAAGTAGATGAACTATAGTTAACACCCTGTGCGAGTCTTGTTACCAATCGCAACCTGGCAATAAACTTGAATAGTTCAACTCGTATTTATTACCTTACAATGTAAACTTCCTTCAAATGTGTTAAGGAAATGGTTTTTATGTTCTAATAACTCTTCATATTTGTAAAACATTACACCTTTACTTAAGTATTATCATTAATTTGTCTTTTAAATAGCATACATTCTTGAAAAATTGTTTCATTACACATACATTTGCTGTGGCCAAGTTTTTCTAATGATTATAATTTGATTGTAACTCAGGTTGAGATTGACTACAAATAAAAGTTTCAGTGTATTTTTTTATTTATAATGTTTACTACAGTACCAATATATATGAGTGTGTATATATACAAGTGCCCTAATAATTACTGTTTGCTAGTAAGTGAATGTTCCACAGTAATAAGTCAGGTAATACATGATAAGTTGGTCAACTATTTCTTCACTTTAGGTTTCATGTCTGCATTCATCCTCAATATAGCACCAGGAGCGGGGTAGGGTCGCATCTGATAAAGAGGCCCAGAAGCTGTTGTATCAGCACCAGTCTTTGCTTCACCTTTCCTTTCTAAGCCAGTAGACCAGGTTCCCCTGTGATAATGATAGTTAAATAATACTGTACTGATTGTTCAATAGTGGTTTCTATATTTGTTGTGAGGATAGAAAATCCACCATACACCTTAAATAAAAGTCCAAAGATACAGCTTTGGAGTGGACTGTTTATTTTTATCAAACTTTTTTTATGACGTTTTGACCACTCGTGTGGCTATCATCAGTTGTCTCTATTTTGTGAAATACGTAACATAAGCATTAGAATCAAACAACATAATAAACCCTTATCATACATTTAAAAACACAGCACAACAAATTAACATTAACAAATTTAAAATATTATGCAATGAGAACAACAATAATAGAATAAAAATAAAAGAAGCATTATTTATTCCTGAACTAAAACCTAATTTAAATCAAAACATAGGTGTCACCCTGTATGTTTTCTAAATTGAAACAAAATGTTCACGCAGTATTTCACAAAATAGAGACAGTTATCTGATTGATGGCCACACGAGTCGTTGAAACGTTGGAAAGAAAGTTAAATAAAATAAACAATCAACTCAAAAGCTGTATTTTTGAACTTTTATTTAAAACGGTTTCTATAGTTTTAATTCATAAATTTAAAAGAGAGGCATATAATTATAAGAAGAAGACAATGGAATATAAAAATTACCTAGGAGTATCTGAATATGCTGCTGGATCCATTGGATCCAATTCTTTATCTTCGGGCCTTCGCCTTCCTGGAAATGAAGAGAAAACGTAACTTTTCTACTTATACAGATGCTAGAGATAACTTTTCATGTTGTTTCTGAATCACAATAAATAAGATATTTGAAAACTACTTCAATAAAATTCTTTCAAGTTTAATTTCATATAAAAATTTAAACTTTGTAACACAAGACATTTACAAGTGTTAGAGTATACGGCCCTGATAATAAACTCCTTGAAATATTAAAGGTGCAAGATGCTACACTTTTCTTCAACTAAATGAATAATAATTATAAAATGAAAGTACATTTAAGGGGCACCAATGATTTATGGATTACAAATAATGTATCAGTCTCAGCTACAATGTATGGCTAGTTACAACTTTGGAACATAAAACATCCTCAAATCCAAAGTTGTAAGACTTAAAGTCTGAATGAATCAATTTCTTTTGGAGAGTCACATTTAGAAAAGCAAGACAGTGAGTTATGAGTATGGACCTACTTGGCACTGCTAAATTCTCTGCATCAGCAGGGCATAATCTTAATTTCCCCCGAAAGTGAGCCAAAGGCTGCCTTGAGAGGTCACCTGTTTTAACCACTTGCACCACTATACAGAAGTGTATTGTCTGTCAGTCAGTCAGTATACACTAAAATGACATCACATAAGAGGCACTTAACATTGCAATTTGCAATGTCATGATATCAGTACAATGTGCACGTGCCATGGATCACGAGAAGAATTATTTACTCTGTAGGCTACAACAGAGCATGTTATATGAACTTCAAAAGCAAGAAATAAAAATACTTGTTGCTCTTGAGTTGGTGAACAATGCTATAGAAGATATTCCTGTCCTCAGTCATTGTAACACAATGCTCTCTGAAGTTAGGTAATAGGTTTGAACACTTACATACATATCCCACAAGGAATACCCACAGCTTTTTATGGAGCTTAGATCAAGATTTCTTGTTGACCTTAACCATTAGTTAAAGGTAGTCTGAACTGACTGAATACAATAAAGGTTGTAGTATTAGTCCAATACCATGTCAAAGTATTATCAAGCACAAATTCCATTACTCTGGTGTTAGATAACACCTACACAAATACATCATTTTACAAGCATAAAATATTAGGAAGTAAGAAATGGGAGTACCAGAAAGTAAGAAAATAAGGTAGGAATGGGTGGGATAACATTACAACACTTCCTGGATTTTGTTGATATCTTTGCCATAGTTTTTCTTCCATCTAACCAAGATGGCAGCATTTTCTTTGACTGTATTAATGGCTAAGGCTTGTTTTGCATATTCAGCATTACTGTTTCTAACCTTATACCCATTTTTGCAGTAATGCTCTCTTCACTGAGACAAAGACTTTTCAAGGTTATCAACATAAGATGTTCTTCATTTCTCTCATTTTGTTTTCTTGAAGAACTTATTTTACAAATTGCACTGTTTCAAGTACAACCTTAGATGTCAGTAGGTCACATTTAGTTTGAAAACAATGCAAAGGATCTTCACAAAATCCAAAAGAGGTTGAGGCAACTCTTCTCAATCATAAACCATACTCAAGAAACCTGTTTATTACCGTTTAGAAAAGCCACTAATAATCCCTTCAGTTTCTGCTCTAAATACAACGGGCAGTGGACTGGTCATTGTTAATGGCTATGTCACGAAGGTGTTAAACATCAGGTGATATAATTGATCTTCCATGACCTTTCCAAGCCAGTCTCATAAGCGAACTTTCTACTATCTTTTTCAATTCTCTTAAAATGAAACATTTTGCTAAATAACTATGTATAAGCCTAATTATAGACCAATAACAATTTAGTATTAACAAATAAAATTATAAAACTAAATTATCATAGAAACAAAATCCATACATTGTTATCTAACCAGTAATCTAAAAATGAAGTTGGCATAAGAGGTATGGCATAATCATGTATTAAATATTCGTCAAATAGAAAAGCTTGGACCTTTTTCAAAAAAAAAAAACCTTTGAAAATTTTTTGGGTGATTTGTGTTATAAAATTAAAAGTATGATTTGTATTACAAAACATTTTCTTCTGTATAAAATAGATTGAAAATAAAATTATACGTATTGTACTTATCATTTAAAGAAGAATCAAATTTGTTGTATATCGATGGTATAACTGAAAATTATTTAAATCTAAATAAAATAATTGTACAACTATAACTATTAAATAATGGGGGGTGGATATTAAATGCATACACACATATTAAAATAACCATGAAGTGAAGTATCAATTTTTATTTCACCATCTAGGCCAAGCACTAGCAAGACGTTTGTTTCACTTAACACTGGTTAGATAAGTGAGCTGTTTAAGTATAGTTTTACTGTTGATTAATACCACTATATCAACGTTTTTATTACATGTCACTAAATAATCCAACGGCTATAACCTTTGTATTTAATGTTCCATATTAAATATTATTTATAAACAATATGTTCATTATATATTCAAAATATGTTGCTTCATATGAAACTAACAAAAAACAATGAATCAATAAATTGTGTACATTTTCAATTAATATATATATATATATTTTATATTAATATAATTAATAATTTCAAATTAATATAGGCACGATTACCTCGTCCACCTCTGTCTCGGCCGGTATGCCTGTCCCTTTCCTGATGTCCTCGTCGATCATCCTCTTCCATATCTTCTTTTTCCTCTCCTTCATCTGATTCAGAGTCCTTCAAATAAACAATGTTAAGGTATTAGTTAGATTATTAAAACATCATTTGTGGCTAAAGTGAATAAGCTAAATACATCCTATCACAGAAGCATTTAGTTGACAAAGTTCTGATAATAAAATAACATTAAAGAAGAGAAAAGCATGACATGAAGAAAACAAAGTAAAACACTCACCAAATTAAAGTACATTTATTGATGAATTTGGAAAAAAAAATGTTTTAGACAATGGCTCTTTATCAAGTTTTATTCTCAATACAAACCTATAGAGTTAATGCCAGAAACATTGTTTTCAATTTCGTCATTAGGCTTAATTTAATATGATGTGTTTCACCTTGTTTGTTTTCTTCTACAATTACTTGATAACACATATATTCACTACACTATTATAATGATAATTACATGACTTTTATCAATATTACATCAGCATCATAGTATTATATACTACCACTGTTATAGAATGAACCTTCATCGTATTTTTATTAAAACATTATATACATTAATTCATAATCACAGTTGATAAATTATTACAGATAATGACTTTAATATTAACTTATACACGGACCTGTACTTTTCGACTCCTCTGCTTTATAACATTAACATTAATTCAAGTAAGTCTGGAAGTGTATGTTCCTCACATTTTTATAATTTGTAAAAGTTATTTCAAATTATGCAGTTATCAATCAGAACTTTTGAGTAAAAGTGAAGAGGAGTGAATAATAATAATATGTCAGCCAGACTATATCTGCTGTATCCAGTGCTGACGAGACCTTTCACTCAATACGGTTTTGATTTATAAAACTCATTATAAAGAATCAGGTTGCATACGAAGTTGAAAAACTTGACCGTATCAAATGTTATTAAACTAAGAATAAGACATAATGGAACCAAACAAACAGGTTTCATTTAGAAATAATTGTTACATCCCATAAACATGTTAAAATATTTATCAAAATCACTATCACTGTATATCACCAATCTTACATATACAAATAAGCTATTTGGAACCTATAAAAGAAATATTACTAGCTACCAGTTTAAACTTTGGTTAGCTTGAGAAATTATAAAGTTCATTTAGAATTTCATGATGCAGAGAAACAAGCTCAAACTTACTTAACTAAATAATACTTATTCATGAACATTAAGTTGTAAAATTTGTGCAATACTAGTTAAGCCTAAATAATTTCTTTTTTGTGTAATTGAATAGACTTGTTCTTTAATTTCATGAATAAATTTTGCTTTTTCATAAAGTTATGTTTACACAGTCTGCTATTTACTATAAGTCAAATATATTTAAAAAAACACATGTGATTATCATATATAACAGTTAATCTCCATATCTATGTCATGGTTCATACTGAATTGATCAGATCAATTTCAAGCACTTTATAAGCACTCTCAGAATGTTTTTCAAGTACTTTTTGGAAGCTAAAACCTACATCAAAATCAATTGGATTTCAATAAATTTTTTTTCTCATTTGTTCAACATATGAATGTAGACTAAAAAGAAAAGAAAGACTTTATTTACTGTGCTCAACTCCACAAGTTAGATATATCGATATATTCTGCTATTACAATATTTTCAAGTTTTTGCCAAAAAGGCCCCTTTTCAAGCAATTTGAACCCCTGAAATTCCATTTTCAAAGATTTTCAAGACACCCTGCTATGTACATTTCAGTTACACATCACTGTACATCAGAACTTGAAATATAAATTAATAATAATTTTCTTTATAAAAAAATTCTTATAAAGTTTCTATTTATCATAGAGCAATTAAAATTGTATGTTAACTACATATAAGTTGAAGTAGTAGTCCTTAAAGTAATGCACGTATTCTTTACAACAATTTAGAACATGTAAAACAGAGCATCATTGGTTGTTAATGATTTTACTGGCTATTATTTAATATATATTCCCTTGCATGCAGTCTTGTAAAGAAATGTACTATTGTTGAGATATTAACATTTTCTTTTAATCATATTAGAGACTAAATACATAAATCTTACCTGCGATGTTTTATACAAGTTTTACCTATATAACTAGGTTCTTGCTAGTTTAAAAAGCATTTTACAGTGTACATGCATTAAAGTAGTACTGAAATAAATAACAGTTTCAAATAATCATAGGAATGAACAACTCACACTGCCACTCATGTCCTCATCCCCTTGATCATCCATATCTTCCTCTTCAGCTTCTTTCATAATCGCTAGCAAGATTTAATATCCAATTAGCATAAATGTATACAAAGTACACAGGTACATAATTTTAGACACAAATTACATTGCATTCTTTACAGAGATTACATGTAGTCTATTCTGTAAAGGTTTCTTGCTACAAGAAATTAAGGAAACTTAGAAGCCAAATTAAGTTTTTGGTACATTACGTCATATTCTTTCATAAGATTAACGAAGTCTTTCCAAACACTTATGCACAGACCTGGCTACCCATAAAGTTTGCTCTCAGTAACGTTTGCCTATCAACTGCTCAGTTTTCAGTAGCGAAAGGTGATTTGTTAGTAGCACAAATACAATCCTTCTTAAGGAAGGGGTGAATGTATTCTCCATTACAATATATTTTAGAACACAAAAAGGATGAACTGCAGATCAATGTACACTATAAGATGTCCTCGCCACCTTCTTGGTGTCGTGAATGCTTCTTTCACCTGAGTAATAGCCAGTGGCTTGCTTTCTGTGGAACGTACAAGTATTCACAATAGAGTGACAGAGTTTACAGGTATGTGCATATGGAGGACTTTGAATGAACCGAGTACACATTATGACCCCATAGCTATTTCAAAATGACCGTAGCCAGAGAGAATTTTATGTAGCAGCTATGGCAAAATCTTAGCAGTAGGCAGGTCCGTAAGCACACGTAAGTAATATTTATATTTAAGTTATAACATTCTATGTATGTTCAACAACTTTGGTTTTTTAACAGTTATTGCTGCATATCATAAAATTCTGAGCTAATTCATCACTCTCTCATCTTTTATATTTACAAATAAGGATATTCTGAGATATCTGACATTTCAAGTTGATAATATTACAACTTCAGTTTTAACAATTTATTCTTATATTAAAAAACAACGAAACCTTCGATTATCCCATATTCTATTGTTCACTTTGTCTCGGTAATAAGTTTACTAGAGGCCAAGAGAAAAGTTATTTTATTGAATAAGAATGGCTTGACTGGCAGCTACAAACAAGTATTTACAACTTCAGTAGTTGTCTTAAACAGAACTGTTTATATCATTGAATAATGAACTGATTTGCTTACGTAAATAATAGCATAGTTAGAAAAGAAACAAAATTTTCATATATTTATTGGCCTTTGGTTCTAAATAATCTTCCTGTATCTAATCGTCTCAAAGAAAGTTTGAAATAGAAAAAAAGTCATAAAGAAAAACACAGAGGCACAAAAAAAATTAATCAACTAAATTGAACAAGGTTTCTATTCCACACACACACACTATATTTAATGAAAAAACTATATAATGTGTGGTCTATTAAAACTGCTTAGGTCTATTAGGGACAGAGTCATGTCTATACACAAATTGTCATATTTTGATTTTTACCACGTAATTTGGCCGCAGGTAGTGAAATTTTTGCTTTTGGATGACTTGGTGACAACCATGAAACTTCATCTGTAGAAATATTCCAGTAATAGTGTCTACCCCTGCAAAATATACAAAGAAAACAGTTGTTGAGTACATATATACAGATGAAACACTACAGACCTTTATTTTAACACGTGCAAAATGACTTCACAGTAAAGCTTCCAAGTCTTTTGATTGATGTATAATATCATCAAAACATTATTGCTTACATGGTTCATACCGAATTGCTCAGAACTTTCAATTTCAAGAACTTTCTAAGCATTTTCAAAATGTTTTTCAAGCACTTTTTGGAAGCTAAAACCTTCACCAAAATCAATTGGATTCCACTGAAATTTTATAAAATTCCTATTTATTTGTTCAACATATTAATGTAGACTAAAAAGAAAAGAAAGACTTTACTGCGCTCAACTCTGCAACATGTATTAAAGTTAGATATATCAATATCTACTGCTATTATAACATTTTCAAGTACTTTTGCCAAAAGAAATTCTAAAGTTCAAGGACTTTCAAGGATGCATGTGCACCCAGTGCATATGGTTGTCCCTTATTATCGTTATTTATTCCACTGTAAAATACACTAATGCAGGTTTTCTCAAACTATGATATGCGTACTCTCAGTGGCACGTCAGTTGTTGTGAACTGCTATGCCTAATGAGTTATTTGTACAGCACTAGCTGTTCTCAAGTAGATAAGAAACTACACAGTTGTACAATAATTTGATCAAAATTATAAAAGTGGTATGCAGAGAAATACGTTTGAGAATCCCTGCAATAATGTATTAAAAAGATGTGTTGTTCGACCCCTCTATCTGCTCGGCAGACAACCAACTCGTTAGTATACAACTGAAACACTCCAGGAAATATATTTGGTATAAACTTTTATATTTATGGCAAATAAAACAAAAGGGAATCCTTAATAGCCATGAAACTTGAAATTCTTTTAGACAGGATCAGAATACAATAATTTATGAGACCTTTTGTTTTTCCTTTTTATTATCTATATTTTTGTCCCAGCAATACCAAGCATGGGGGATGCGTATACCCAATTCGAATTTATTACTCATTAGGATCTCTACCAGCCTACCCTCAGATTGAAATTCTTTTAGTAAATTAATCTGAGACCTTGGGCATAGTCAAATAATCAATCAAAAGGGTTTGACCTCCTGAGCCCAAAACTGTAACTAGATCTCAAATCGGTCACAAGATGATGGAGCTATGAGCTAAAAGTTTGTACTTGATAAAAACAACAACTCTGAGCCGTTCTATGACCCGCTATATTGCAGGTAAAAATATCTAAAGTTAACAGATATTTTTATTTTGCTACAGAGAAATTTCATGACTAAAGTTCTCTTAAAAACAAAAATACATATAATCCTTTGGTGTATTAAAACAACTTTCAAATAATTAAACCCGAATATCTGTATTTCAGTTCTTCTTTGAAATACATTCTACTACTTTTTCCTCAGGTTAATAAAACTTAACATAAAAAATTAAGCAAAAATATTATGTACTAGAGCTTCTCAGGGGTTTATTTTTAATTACATTGATTTTAACTAGTAATTGGACAATAAGATAAGTAATAATAAACCCATTTGTACATCAAAGGACTGCCCTTTTAAACTACTTACATCACTTAAGATGCAATACATTAAAACACCACCATTGACTTTTCACTAGCTTTATGTTTAACCCTTTGAATACAACTCTTTCAAACGTGCATGGAATTTTTGCAAGCTAAACACTGTATACAGCACACTCACATTCAATTGCCAGAGGTCGACTGTACCCTATGTGGCAAATCAGCAGTCAATGGATTAATGTGATCAAATACATCACAATAATGACTACATATCTAGGTATACTTTCTTTTGTATAGATTGTAACATTAAGCTGTAGGGTAAGAAACAAAATTTAATATTATTCTAATAGTTTAATATTATTTCAAATTTGATTAGTGACTGATGTTTTGAATGGCATTTTTAAATCATTAAAAAGTTACGATTAAGAAAGAAACACTTCAAATACTGATTGCTGAATTGTTTAAATGTTACATTTTTCCCACTGTAATTGCATTAAATAAACTTAGTATCTAAGTTTTTTTGATTACAGAATTACAGTAGTGTATAAAATGTTTGGCTTCAACAATAAAGGAGCCATGCTAAAGAAACAGGTGAAAAGCAGAAATGTAAAAAAGGGGAAAAAATAGGGTAACCTAATTTTTTGTATAAATTTCAATTACTGTAATTATGTCCAATCAAATTATTTAATACATACAGAAATTAGGAAAATAATTAAGAGTATTTAGCCAACTCAGTTTATAACATTAAAACAATATAAATGTAGCTTTGTAGAATGGATGATAATTGTCTGTTGTAGAGGACTTTGTTTCGACGTATGGACTATCCAGTACAGTGCAACAGAAAAAAACAGTGTCTATAATCATCACATACTTTAGATGTGATGTATATTTTACATTTGTAAATAATTTTTTATGCTTTTGATGCAAATTCAAGAGAGCAGCTTATCTTATGAATGGGAGACAGGTGATTATTTTGCATGACAACAGTCAACCAATAATGTCACTAATCTGTTAAGTTTTAAAATCATGTTTTTTCTACCCTATGACATTTGGTTTTTAAACAACTCAAATCTTCAAAGTCAACTGACTTAACTCAATTTGCTCAGTTTATGATTCAGAATGAAAAAAACTGCCAAAAATTTATACTTTTGATTGAATGTTAAAAGGTGATTTTAATGATATTAAACTCTAAATCATTTTTTTTTAGAAAATTTTGGAACGTATAATCCATGAAAATGTTACACCACATACAGACTTAACAAGAAACATAATTCATAATGTTATAAAAATGTCAAATCAAAATTAGTAACTTTTTATAAACGTAATAACTAAATTGCGAATACATCTTTTATTATTTTTCAATATTTGTTCCATTAACCAATCAACCACTGTAGAAGTTGTGTACGTTTATTAATCATATTCTAAGACTGATAGATTTCCAAGCAACACTAATTGGAAGGTTTAGAAATGTATTGATAATTACACGCCGGGGTCGTATACTTCTTCCCATCCCTCTGGTAAAGGGTACTTTTTCAGCATTCTCAGACGTTTTCTCTCTGTTGTTGGAGATGCCTGTCTCTTCCCTAAACCCCAGTGCTCATGACAAAATGTGGTACATTCATGGTAAATATTGTATTTATTAGGACAACCAACAGCAAAATGTTCTTCTTCTCCTTCAGTGGGATCTGTTTCTATAATGGACTGAGAGATTTTGTGAGGATCATCATAATCTTCTGCAATAACTTCTTCTTCAGGCTCTGAAAGAGGATATTGAATTTTATGGACTACCAGTCTATAGAATATACAGTAATCAATAGTACATTAATGATACATCTTATCCCACACAAATGTCATAACTGAATATATCTATATAACTTAATATATTAGTAGGCTACAAATCAAACTAACCAAATGCTCTTCAAGAGAGAATTTTTCTGGAATACATTTTTAGTTAATAAATACCAGGATACATGTATATCCTACTCACTCACCAAGTTATGATACGTGAGGGATAAATCATGAACAATTTGGCAATTTTTTTAGCCTAATCAGCTACAGCTGGTTATAATTACTCTACACCAGTAACATAAATATCAGAATTGTTACTTATATGTATATTTAATTGCAATATTGTACACATCCACAGTGTCAAAACCATTAATTTTAAATGTGATACATTTTAAATTAGTCAACATAAGACTTGCCTTATACCAAACTAAAGCTCCACTTTCTACTCAAACTTTAAAAGAAAAAAAGCTTGATCTTTAACTACTGTAACAAGCCAAGGAAAAGAAATTACACTTATATGAAATATATGTATTCTATACAATTGTGTTTATTGTAATGTATAAAATAATATTATTCTTACTATCAATGTAAAAAACAATAAAGACAATTATTAAACACAACTTTTACAAAATATCAAACACCGATAAAAGAGGGTTTAGCCAGGACTTTAAAATTAAACAACTCAATCTCCAAATACAAATGCCAAGCTCAAAAATATTCAAAGAAGTAACAATGTTAATATCAAAATTACAAAATAATAACAACATAACTCAGGGAAAAAAAAAAAAGAGCCCCAAGAAAAAAAACAATTTTTTAAGATAATTAACAATAACAATATTTAATACTTCTCACAGAAATAACACTAAATCATTAATAAAAGATCAAGCGAATATAATCTTTGAATTAATCAAATATCTTATGTATCCTAGTTTCACTAATCTCTAGCCTAACAACCTCTCGTCAGTCTAACTTTTATTGTCTTGCAAGATCACAGGATTGTATGTTACATGACTAGCTACATAACATTTATTTTACATAACCTTGAACTTAGTTCCATATGTCACCACTGTTTGTGCCTGTATGTGTTATGTGGTTGACATACTGTAAAATATTCTCCTCTCTTTTCACTCATAATTTTGTTGCTGATGCCAACTCATTCATAAATCAATAACAAACCATCAGTTCAAACCTCATCAGCCAAACCATGCCACATGGTATTTACTAACAGAGAGTTAATTTTGTGAAACAAGTAGTCTAGATCCAGGCTTCCACAATTTATGATATCAAATTTTTAAGATTTTAAGTTCTCCTTTGCATTCCACTATTCAATCTGTTCAAGGAATAAACAATCTATAAAAGCATGCCAAATTTAAACTTAAATATTGTAACTTATTGTCATATACATTATTTCTTTCAATAAAATTATTTATTAATTTGAACCATTATTATGAGGTATATGTTAATCCTTCCCGGCTTGTAATAATTGAAAACGTCACGTTATGGAGATTGTACTACAAATACGTTTTTATCTGTTAGGTGATAGAATCTTATAACTTCGCCCAATCACTTGACTATTTGAGGACTTGATAAAAGATGAAACTAAAATGTGTTCATTTATTAAGAGCTACCAGCAGTTATGGGTGCATTATAAGAATCACAGTCAATCCCTTTACATGGATTGTGGGTAGTAGGGTGCTGCCATCTGGCTGCCTTCCTTCTGATCAATAATTCAGAATTAGTCATGGTGGCTGATAGTCTTAGTAGCTTTACCATAAATACAGTTGAATTCAGAAGATGGCTTGAATGGGTAATGAAGAAAAACTTTAATATAAGTTTAACTTACCTGATGATGACAAAACCTTGTCGAAACATTGTACATTTGCTGTTATGTTAAACTTATATTAAAGTTTTTCTTTATTGCCCATTCAAGCCGTCTCCAACCATTATTAGTCTCAAAGTGGGTTCCTCGTCATCGAAATTAAAATATGTTTAAGTCAACTATATTAGTATACTAACAGTTCAAAAAAATGGAAAAATAGAATAGTTCAAACCAGCTTTTCATGTTCGATTAGTTTTAAAATCTTACAAGTTACAGTTTCATAATGTTAAAGCAATATGGTAAATTTAGACCAGATAAATGACACCGATAATAGAACATGAATTTCGGTTATATCTGTGATTGGTGTGTATGTATGTTTATATACTGTCCTATATCCAGCTTCTACCTAGATTATTTTTGCCAATGCTATGTAAATAAAGTTGTAAGTTGCCAGTAAACATGGGCCTAAATGTTTTCCTGGGTACTTAACTTATAACTACTACTCTGTTTAATCATTAGTTGATTGAGTGCTCCGAAAGATTTCATTTTTTAACAATTCTCTGTTAATTTTATTTCACTTTCAGACTAAATAACAAACGTTTGAGCAGAAATATATTATGTTTAGGTCAATTCATCATATACTATAGTAGTATTGGTACGTACATTTTTATGATATATTTATTTAATTGAAAAAGTGCCAAACTTCCCTAACAAAGAATAATTACTCTTAAGCATAATAGTAACAGTAATACTCAGTAGTACTAATACTACTACTAGTAATATTAATGTTACTAACACTTATCATTACCACCACTAAATATTACTACACTGGTTTAACTTAAGTTAAAGTAAGTTAGGCTTAACTACCTGAATTTAACTTATTTTGATTTTTCTCGTTTTCCGACTTTTTATCCGGTTCCAAAATATCAGATTCAATCTGAACAATTCCTCGTTTTTGAAGCCGTGCAAGTAATGCTGGTGGAAGTGGCATCGTTAATAATAATGTAGTGACAACTATTTACATTTGCAACGTTAGTTAGTACGCAAAAAAATTAACTTAAGCTCACTTATGACTTGGCTTAAAGAAAATGTGGTTCAGTGTGTAACTTGTAAGAACAGGTGATACTGCTCCTCTAATAAAAATATTTTTTAAATCGAAAAAAATGGACTATTTGGTCTTTAATGTTTAACGATTAAAGGCTTTCCTTGTACATTCACATACTACAACTAAGAAAAGTCAAAATTGAAACCCACTCTTTATTTTGCATTTTTAAATGGACTTATCTGATACTTACCTGAGAAACCACAAATATAAGAGTTCCATTCTTGAGCACATGTTTATTGTAATATGTAAAAGAGTAAGTAAATTGCAAGTTTTAATAAGACTAATGTGATAAAAAATTCTGTTAAACTATCACTTATTAGTAAACTTTTTTATTTTAATATAATTCAACTATAGTGATTATTAGACTCTCGTGTCCGGTCATTCGTAGATGTTATGTAGGCGCGGATTGTTATGACGTTTTAGGTGTCGGCAAGAATATCTGTGAAGTCGCATTTGACTGCTCAGTCGAATAATACAAGTTAAAACTTGTACAGATATATATATTTCATTGAAAAATGGCAGAGGAGTATAAAGGACGCGTAATTGTTTTTAGTATAACAGGGTGTTCGCACTGTAAGAGTGCAAAATCATTGTTAACGGAGAGAAACATACCTTTTGTGGATGTAAACTTAGATACCTTTCCAAATTTGCGTGAAGAAGTTAAACGGCGGACTAACAGAAGCACGGTACCTCAGGTTTTTTTCAATAATATCCATGTTGGAGGGAACGAAGAACTGCAAAATCTTGTAAGTTTACACGTTAAAAACAACAGTGCAAAAATTTCGCCCACTGCCTCTCAGTATGTTTAATATAACTTATAAATATATAAGACACTAGGTTTGTTGGTGTGGAAATGATATTGAAATCAAATATAATCCACTTCTGATCTTGCATTACCTTTCATGTATCTTATAATGTAAGAAGCGACTTCAGATATAACATAATGGGGTGTCTATGAGTTTGTTTAAATTGTTAATATTTTCTGATCAAAGCAAGCTACTTAATTGATCAGAACTAAAAATTTACTTGGTAATGAAAGAAAGAATGAAATATAAATTACGTTCTAAACCTGATACTTGCTCATACACTTTCACTAGTTCCCTGTTTAGATGGTGAAAAAGAAATAAAACATGCATAAACACGTAGGGGGCTGGATAAGAAATTAAAAGGAATATCACATTTTGTCCTGAAAATGGTAATCACTCATATTTTACAACATGTTAATACAAGTGTGATATTAATTCTCAAACCCTTCACATAACCTTGTAATTTGAGAATACATTTAGCTTTTAAACAAACCAGTGTGCTTTTATACTTGTTGTTTTGTATATAAAATGATACTTTTGTGTTACAAATTTGTATGAGATTCTGTTCTTGTAATCATTTTTTTCCAGCATTTTCAGCTTCAACAGAGGTTTCCAGTGAATAAAGTTTTGATTAGTTTTCCTGTGGTTCGTACATGAATCATGTTTTGAGATAAAAACAAATTTGTTTTCTTTTTTTTTAAAAGTTAACTATAGTCCTATGAGTAGAGTTTGTTATTTTGAAAGTGTTAGATTCTTTAAAGTATTACCTGTACCTAGTAGTAGTAGTTTGTGCTGATGGGTTTAATTTTTTTACTAAATCTTTTTGGGAATCTGCAGGAGGATTGTAGGAAAATAACTTGACACTACACATGTACTTCTTATAAAAAATGTATCTAGTATTAGAAAAACTATCATTTTTGAAGTTTAAAAACATTTGGGTGATAATAACTCATTTATTTATTAGATGAAGAATGAAGATAAGTGGCAAGCACTAATACAAGAAATCAAAGAAAATGAACCACCTGAAGATGCCCCTACTCCCCCTGCAGAAGATGCTTTTGTTGATAGTGACAGTAAAGGTATTGTGTTCATTTACACTTATTTTCTGTTCAACATGAATAAGAACTAATGGCTTGCTACAAAAAATTATGTTAAAGCCCTGAAATGTATTTTTCCCCTGATTAACTTCTGGGGTCTTATAAGATAGTAGTGTACTAGTAAAATTAAGGAAGAGGCTAGGTATCTAGTGACGGTTCTGTAGTCTGTAGTATTTTCAAATGTTATTTGTATGGTAAACTGAGTATTAACTTTTCACTGTGTATAGCCTTGCATTAATATATTTTAAGGGTGTTATTCTCTCAATAAAGTGATTTAATATAATATTGGTATTATGAAACGTATACGAGTGTTCTTTTCATCTCATGTTCTTATATTTGCTCTCTACACTTGTGAATGTTTCAGCCATCACTGGTTACCTAACTACTTACTAGAATAAATAAAATGTGGATTAGTAATCCATGATAGGAAGATTACTACGAATCAATGAGACATTTGATTATATTTTCTTTTTTTTTTTGGAATGGTTTAGCATTGTGAGGTGGGTGTACGTACTTTCAACGAAATGATTACCTTTGATATGCCAAGGTTTTCCAACAGCTCTGTGAAACAGTAGATAGCATCTTTGTACACTTTGGTTACACCTTGATGTCTACCTTTTGGTACTGACACATCAGTGGTGTTATCACTAATGCTAACATCATTTAGAATTAGGGTGCTATAATTGCATATATCCAAGTTTATTGCCATATTGCTGGTCACAGTTTTTCGTTACATGTGACATTTTCACCAGATGATTGGTGAAAGATTTTTTGTCACTGCTGCTTCTGGTTAGCACAGTTAGGCCTCAGAAATTGATGACAGTTTATATCCACATGGTGGTCTCCCTCTAATTGCATCTGCTTAGCTGAAAGTTTGTGGGATCTATCAGCTACACCACAATCAAAAAATGTATTCACTTCCTATTTGTAAGGACCAATTAATTTTTTGCACCATATTTTGGACACTTAGCCCATCCAAGTGTCTTCAAAATTGAAAATGTGAATTATGCTAGCAAAGCCAGTCTCCCTGCTTGATATGAAACCTAGGGAACTGGTAGCATGCATGTTAATGGCTTTGAAGTTTTCATATTGCTTGTATCTTCTTATACATTGCCCGGCATCTATTCCTTAATTCCCTGATACACATATGAACTAAATACATATTTATATAGACAAAAAATAAAATTTTTGTTCTTGTACAAGCAATGTTAATAGTGCCATAAGTTGGCAAAGGCACAACTGATTTTCATTCTAGGAAGTTATTTACATTGGAGAAGTATATATTATAATATCCTTATTCCTGATTGGGAAAAATAGGTAAAGTACAATTAATCACATTTTCAAAGTTGGACAGATGTTGGTACCTTTTCTTGTGAACTAGCTGTTACAGTCTTTAAATAATTTTTTTAAAATTTGACCTAGGCTTAGGAGAAATGTTTAGATTCAGGACAAATATATAACCACACAAAGAGTTTACCACAGTTTCATTAATATCTACCAGGATGGACACGGATGTAAAATATTTAGGGAATCAAGTTCCCATGTCTGAAGAATGAAGGGGGTTATGTATGTATTAGGCACAATTTTAGCAACCAGAAGGTACCATTAATATTGGTTATAAAGTTACTAGTTGCTGGGAAGTTCAAGTTTATTAACCCAACAGACATTAAACATAGCAAATTCTTTTTTATGTTACACTTTAAGAACAGTAAGACAAAAGGTCATAAATTTCAGATTTGAAACAGTCAGACACATCTCCAGTTGAAATAATGGTAAGTTTGTGGAACAGATTGTTATCTAGAGTGGTGGAGGCTGCAGTTAACAAAAAAAGTGAAGATTAATAGATATTTGGGGATCAGGGCTGGATTTAGTGATTAGTTTTCCATTTATGAGGAAGGTCATTCTTGATGGGCCAAGTGGTTCCTTGATATTCCATAATTTATATTTTTAAAAACTTGTGAAGGCATTACAGCAGTAATGAGTTTGGTTATTTTTCAAGATGATTCTGGTCCAATATTGAAGTGTGAAGAAGATGAATTTTACTCATTGGCTAAGGAGATAAAGGACAGTGGTGTGCTTAAAGACCATCGTCAAGGACTTTTCCATGTTGTACGTCGTTCAATTACCAGTGAAGAGTTGGTTAGTTGGATGAAAGAAACTAAGAATATGGGTAACATACTTTATATTTTGATGCTATTCATGAGTGGAAAAAATACTTCATTTTGAGCATTGTGTAACATATGTTCAAAGTAAATTGTTATGGTAATTGATTTTAGATTTCTTTGATGTATGAATTGACAGTTTGTAAGCAGCATAATCTTTTTCTTTTCTTTGGTCTCCAGTTATTGTATGTCATTTGAGAAGTTAAATCCATTTTATTTCCTCTAGAATTTCTTTGTGAAATCATACTTAAAGTTTGCTTGGGACTTGAGTCCTGGTAGCTCAGTTAGTAAAAACATTGGGCTCAGAGCACTAATGTGAATTGGAATTCCTGGGTTCAAGTCCCAGTTAGGGCAAATGTCTTAACGTCCTAATACATTACATTGAAACCCACCCAAAGGGGTCACATGAGCTGAGTAGACAGTGAATCAAGTTATCCATGTATATACTTGACATATTGGTCGGACTGGTGTGCTGTGTGTGATAGTGTTATTGACCTTGAGATGTTGTGTTGTGAGCTTGTTTAAATGTGTGTGTGTGTGAGTGTTTATGTGTGTAAATTGATTTGGATAAAAGTTACCAGTTAGGAACTTGAGACCTAGGTTGAAGCTCTAGATAGGGCAGATCTCTTGACATCAAAAGTGTCAAACAGTAATTTGGCAGTTTCAATGGGATTGCGATCGTATTCTATTTACTGCTGCTATTCTGCAAGGCATGCTTTCAGCTATGCTTTAAGATGTACTTGTGCAGGGTCCCCAAAAATGTTCTGTTTCAAGAGTAAATAAATCCAAAATTATGAGTAACAGATATTTCTATTTCTTACTTTTAAAATTCATATATCATGTTGTATTCTAGGCTACAGAGTGCATAATTCTTCTTGTGACTCATCGTGATTTTAGTGTCTTCTGACTGACTGACAGACAAAACCCTACTATATAGTGGTGCGAGAGGTTAAAATAGATGACCCCTACAGATGGCTATTGGCCACCTTTTGGGGGAATAATGTACTTTGTAGTTCAGTTTGTTATATTATTTGTTTTCTAAACCTTACCATATGATAATGGCTTGAAATTTTTGGTTAAAGTTAGCTCGTCCAGATAATCCTGTTTTTGTTTTATTGGGTTAAGATCTGAACAAGTCTTATTCACACACACACACACAAATATATACAAACATTTTTCATAAAAATAATTTTAGATATTCCCAAAATGTTTTAGTGATTAGTAAATTCAGGTAGGTGTAGACCTCTAGTATTTTAAAATGCAGAAAATACAGACATAAAACGAAATAGATCCTCAACATCAGGACTACGTACTATACATTTTTTCTTTCTTGCGAGAACCATCACAGAATGTGGATGTGCTTTATGTGATGTATATGTCAAGTAACAGTGGCATTAAAAATATAGAAGTTGATGTTCATTTCCAGTTACATTAAAAATGGATATTCAGAGTTATAGAATAAAGAGTGATATATTCTCTAGTGGAAGACATTTTAAGGGTTTATGCACCCAGCTAAAGAACACATTGTAAAACCAAGTCATGTTCACGTTATATCAAGGAAAATGCGATTCTCCTTTATATTGTATTTTAGCTTTTTCAAATTTTCTCATGTAAAAATACAGTTTATTATAATAGTTACCTGTGTATGTTGGAGCCGACGATTAATAGAATTTGATAATCAATTAATCACCAAGCTCTTTCATCGATTAACTTCAATTAATTGATTATTCTCACAAGACTTTATAGGAGAATTAATTGCAAATAGTAATAATTGGAAACACTAATTTTAATAAGTTGATTATTTTCATGAGGTGTGACACTAATAGATTAAGTTGAACAACCTTGAATTTAAAATAATAATGAGGAATAATTTCAATATTTCGTTTAGTTGAATAATCAGAATCAGTAATACTTAGAAACATTAATTTTGCTTAGTTGATTATTTTCATGATAATATCTGATTTAATCATAATTTTAATTAACTGATTATTTTATGTGACACTGATGTAATTGATGCTTATAGATAATCAATTGGTCGAGTTTATTTCCTAACTCTACTGTATATATATATATATATATATATAATCTTTTTTTTAATGTTTTACTTATGCTTTACTAGCTTAACCCTGTTAAATAACCCATTTTTATTTCTCTCAGATCAAGAAAATGCTATAGAAACAGGAAAACAGCTTGTTGAAAGGCACTTCTTGGTGCCTTTGAGAAAAGGAACAACCTTTAAAGATGACAGTAATGCACTTTATAGGATGATAGATTATCAGTGGGAAAATGCTCTTAATGCTATTCCAATTTCAGAGTGTAAAGCAAGGCAAGGTAGGTTGAACTTTTATATATGAACAATTTAAAAGAAAGGTTACATGTCAGCAATTTCTGAAAGGGCCATAAACTGACCAAAAAATATATTTTTCATTAATTTGTGATTTGTTAACAAAT